CCCAGATCACTCAGCCTAGAATCGTGGATGTCAGGCTCTTGTGCAAAAAGATCATAGGCTACTTCACGGAATCATGGAATATCCTGAGCTGGACCCACAAGGATCATCAGTCCAAATCCTGTCCCTGCACAGACACCCCCAAATCCCACCCTGAGCATCCCTGGCAGCGCTGTCCAAACACTCCTGGAGCTCTGGCAGCCTCAGGGCTGTGCCCATTCCCTGGGGAGCCTGGGCAGTGCCAGCACCCTCTGGGGGAAGAACCATTCCCCAAAATCCAATTTAAAATTCCCCTGGTACAGCTCCAGCTGTTCCAATCACTTCTCTCAGAAGGGCTCAGCATCTGCCCCTCCACTTTATGGGAACGGGGCTGCCCACTCCTGTCTCACTCAGAGTCACCATGCACAGGCTGTGCTGGCACACAGCAGCACTTCAGGAACAATAACACACGTTTCCACCCAGCAGAATGTCATTTCAACACCCTAAATGGAAGTATTTACCAACATTCTGCAATTTTAAGCCTGCCATAACTCATTTCAAAAAGCTCCCCTGCTTTCGGTTAGACTTCAAGTTATTTGCAGATTTGGAACCTGAGTGACAAATTTTTAAGCCACATTTACATGGGCTGCAATTAACTTTACAGGAAGGAATCACTGCAGCAATCAAGGAAGGAACTGGACAATATTTAGTGCTTCCCCTTAGATCTCCAGCACAAATCACAGGAAAACAAAGCCTGGATTCTCCCAGCCAGATTCCCAGACAGGCACAGCCAAAGCAGCATCAACAGCAGCAGCCTCATCCCAGATCCGAAACACTATAAAGGTTTCCCTATACCAATATAAAACCTGTACATCTTACTCCCCTTTCCTGCAAATTCTCAAGTGCCAGAAAGGTTTGGCAAAAGGATTATTTTTTTAATTTAGAGAGTTAATAATATATTAGACACAATTAAGTGCCTGTTAAGTTGATCTTGTGTCATCAAGTGTGTATTATAGCAAAGCTCAATATTTCTGGTGCTTCAGGCATTCAACATCCATATGGCAAAAATGTCTCCTTCACATTTTTAATGATTTCCATAAACTGTTGCACAAATAAATTTTTGATCAGCCTCTAATTTTCTAATTAAATAATTACTTTTCATTTTCTTAATTATTAATGGTCCTGATTTACAAAAGCACAAGCTAAAATCCCATTCACTTCAGTGGGACACAAGAGGTGAAGATAAGCACAAAGTGGTTTCCCAGATTCAGACCTTCAACTACAAACCTGGATGTGACAAAGTTCTTTAAAATAAAAAAATCAAATATCAAGTGAAGATTTTAATAATGCCATTAAATAGTTTCAGGATCTTTAAAAGGAAAAATTGACCACTGACTTAAAAACATGTTCCTCCTGAAAAAAAAAAAAAAACAATGTATTTTTTCAAATTTCTTTTTACAGATTGTGAATCACAATGAAAAGCATCATGACAAACCTGGAATTTCTCAAAGAATGGAAAATCTGGTCTCATTCCTACTCTTTTTCCATCCTGATCTGTTCTCCCTTACTCTGCTGAGTAGGATTAAATGTACGATGAGAGCCTGGTGAGATTTCAGCCTCTGCACAGAGCTGCTGATTTTCTTCCAATTATCAAAGGAAGGAGAACTGCCATGCTAAAGAAACCACTGTAGATTAGTGATGATTTAGTTTCCAGTGAGGCAGAGATTTGAAGCCTCCATCAGTGGCACCACCACTGCGAGATCACAGATCAGAGACTCTCCCGAGCTTCACTTGGCACGGGAGGAGATTGGGAGGGACAGGGACCCAGAGCCAGCTCCACCAGGAATATTTTTAGCTCTGCTGATCAAATGGCCTGCAGAGGACTGAGCAGCCACAGCCTGGAGTAGTTTCCTACTCCCTTAAGCTCAGCCCAATCCCGTGGCACTTGAGAAGAGCAGCAGTGTCGCTGCCATTCCCATTCTTCCCAAGCCCATCCTGATTCCTGCAGCTCAGTGATGGCTTCATTACCAACAGACAGACATTACCCACTGCAAA